CACTTTATACTAGAAAACTTTAAACTAAGCACTTTATACTAGAAAACTTTAAACTAAGCACTTTATACTAGAAAACCTTAAACTAAGCACTTTATACTAGAAAACCTTAAACTAAGCACTTTATACTAGAAAACTTTAAACTAAGCACTTTATACTAGAAAACTTTAAACTAAGCACTTTATACTAGAAAACGAATACATTTATTGTTTTAATACTGGGGATATCTTGAGCAAGTGGATCCCTTGAAAGGCAAAAGAATGCTAACAGATTATGGTTGATTAGTTTTCTAGATTTAGAGCCCGTCAAGGATACTTATAAAAAACAAAATAAGGATTAAAATCAACTCTCAGTGCATAAACCCCTCAAGGAAGGTTCCTTGATGTTGGTGAGGGGCTCTTGATTTAAGGAATTGGATCTGTGCTCGAGTTCCCCGAATTAAGCCTGAATGCCTTCCACATCCCCCCCCCCAGGCGCTGTATAATCCTCCGGGTTTAGCGCTTCCCCTTTGATTATAATAATAATCAGTGCATAAACACCTTTCGGAGACTACACATCAAGAGATACATTCCAGTTGATGTATATACATCAAAATGCACGCCTCTCAGTGTATATAATCTTGACAGGTAAGGCAGATCAAAGAGACTAAAGCAAAGCTTTACCTGTGAAAAAAATAAACGCGCTCACTTCAGTGTGCTCTGCTGTGCCTAAGGGAAGTTCACTGAAGAGTTGGTTTATCATCCAAAACTTCCCGATTTTTTTCTTTAGTTAAGGGTAAACGCTCCCCGTATTAGAGCTACCGGGAACTGCAGCAAAACGAAAGGGGGAAAAAAAAAAAGTTTTATCACAAAACTAGACCTTGCGCTACCGGACTTTAGGGGTAAAAGTCCTTGCTTTATGAGGTATCTATCGCTCTCTCTCTCTCCCCGCAGGAAATGTAAACACTGACTGCTCTGGTTCCCTGGGTTAGTTCAGGGAGTGGATATTTTCGTCCGTGTAATTATCTGCTGGTGATATTAAAGCCTCGTCGGCGGTACAGATGAGGTAGTATGTTTGATGGTGGAGCCTTCACCTCTCCTTGTGTTCTCTCACCGTCATGGACTACACTACACCCACACGTGTTCTCACACCACCACCACCACACGTGTTCTCACATCACCACCACCAAACGTGTTCTCACACCACCACCACACGTGTTCTCACACCACCACCACCACACGTGTTCTCACACCACCACCACCACACGTGTTCTCACACCACCACCACCACACGTGTTCTCACATCACCACCACCAAACGTGTTCTCACACCACCACCACACGTGTTCTCACACCACCACCACCACACGTGTTCTCACACCACCACCACACGTGTTCTCACGCCACCACCACCACACGTGTTCTCACGCCACCACCACCACACGTGTTCTCACACCACCACCACACGTGTTTCTCACACCACCACACCACCGAGTTCTCACGCCACCACCACGCACGTGTTCTCACACCACCACCACCACACGTGTTCTCACGCCACCACCACCACACGTGTTCTCACACCACACGTGTTCTCACACCACTACCACACGTGTTCTCACACCACCACCACACGTGTTCTCACACCACCACCACCACACGTGTTCTCACACCACCACCACCACACGTGTTCTCACACCACCACCACCACACGTGTTCTCACACCACCACCACACGTGTTCTCACGCCACCACCACCACACGTGTTCTCACACCACCACCACACGTGTTCTCACACAACCACCACCACACGTGTTCTCACGCCACCACCACCGCACGTGTTCTCACACCACCACCACCACACGTGTTCTCACGCCACCACCACCACACGTGTTCTCACCACCACCACACGTGTTCTCACACCACCACCACACGTGTTCCCACACCACCACCAACACCACACGTGTTCTCACACCACCACCACCACACGAGTTCTCACGCCACCACCACCGCACGTGTTCTCACACCACCACCACCACACGTGTTCTCACGCCACCACCACCACACGTGTTCTCACACCCCCCCACCACAAAGTTTCTCACACCACCACCACACGTGTTCTCACACCACCACCACCACACGTGTTTCGCACACCACCACCACCACCACACGTGTTCTCACACCACCACCACCACACGTGTTTTCACACCACCACCACACACGTGTCTCACGCCACCACCACCACACGTGTTCTCACGCCACCACCACCACACGTGTTCTCACACCACCACCACACGTGTTCTCACACAACCACCACCACACGTGTTCTCACGCCACCACCACCGCACGTGTTCTCACACCACCACCACCACACGTGTTCTCACGCCACCACCACCACACGTGTTCTCACACCACCACACGTGTTCTCACAACACCACCACACGTGTTCTCACACCACCACACGTGTTCTCACACCACCACCACCACAAGTGTTCTCACACCACCACCACACGTGTTCTCACACCACCACCACCACACGTGTTCTCACACCACCACCACACGTGTTATCACACCACCACCACACGTGTTTTCACACCACCACCACACGTGTTCTCACACCACCACCACACGTGTTCTCACACCACCACTACGTGTTCTCACACCACGACCACACGTGTTCTTGCGCCACCACCACGTGTTCTCACACCACCACCACATGTGTTCTCACGCCACCACAACCACACGTGTTCTCATGCCACCACCACCACCACACGTGTTCTCACACCACCACCACCACACGTGTTCTCATACCACCACCACCACACGTGTTCTCACGCCACCACAACCACACGTGTTCTCACACCACCACCACCACACGTGTTCTCACGCCACCACCACCACACGTGTTCTCACACCACCACCACACGTGTTCTCACACCACCACCACACGTGTTCTCACACCATCACCACACGTGTTCTCACACCACCACCACACGTGTTCTCACACCACCACCACACGTGTTCTCACATCACCATCACCACACGTGTTCTCACACCACCACCACCACACGTGTTCTCACACCACCACCACACGTGTTCTCACACCACCACCACACGTGCTCTCACACCACCACCACGTGTTATCACACCACCACCACACGTGTTATCACCCCCACCACCACACGTGTTCTCACACCACCACCACACGTGCTCTCACACCACCACCACACGTGTTCTCACACCACCACCACACGTGTTCTCACACCACCACCACACGTGTTCTCACACCAGCACCACACGTTCTCACACCACCACCACATGTTCTCACACCACCACCACATGTTCTCACACCACCACCACACGTGTTCTCACACCACCACCACACGTGTTCTCACACCACCACCACCACGTGTTCTCACACCACCACCACACGTGTTCTCACACCACCACCACACGTGTTCTCACACCACCACCACACGTGTTCTCACACCACCACCACACGTGTTTCTCACCACCATTACCACACGTTTCTCATATCACCACCACCACGTGTTCTCACACCACCACCACACGTGTTTCCTCACACCAGCACCACACGTGTTTCTCACACCACCACCCACACGTGTTCTCACACCACCACCACACGTGTTCTCACACCATCACCACACGTGTTCTCACACCACCACCACCACGTGTTCTCACACCACCACCACACGTGTTCTCACACCACCACCACACGTGCTCTCACACCACCACCACACGTGTTATCACACCACCACCACACGTGTTCTCACACCACCACCACCACGTATTCTCACACCACCAAGTGTTCTCACATCACCACCACATGTTCTCACACCACCACCACGTGTTCTCATACCACCACACGTGTTCTCACACCACCACCACGTGTTCTCACACCACCATCACCACACGTGTTCTCACACCACCACCACCACACTTGTTCTCACACCACCACCACCACGTGTTCTCATACCGCCACCACACGTGTTCTCACACCACCACAACCACGTGTTCCCACACCACCACAACCACGTGTTCTCACACCACCACCACACGTGTTCTCACACCACCACCACCACGTGTTCTCACACCACCACCACACGTGTTCTTGCACCACCACCACGTTTTCTTGCACCACCACCACGTGTTCTTGCACCACCACCACGTGTTCTCACACCACCACCACATTCTCCTCTAGCACATAAGAACATACAATGAATTCTCTTCATCTCTGTTACGACATTATTAATGCAGCATTTAGTGAATATTAAAATCCTGGTTGCTGGTAGTCGGATTACAGAAAAACATTTGTTATTAAGAATCACGATATAAATATACATACATACATACATAGAGAGAGAGAGAGAGAGAGAGAGAGAGAGAGAGAGAGAGAGAGAGAGAGAGAGAGAGAGAGAGAGAGAGAGAGAGAGTTGCAAAAAAACTCATAAATATTAAAATAAACAAATAAGGCTACAGTCCACAGAAATAAACACCACATGTGCACATTCACATGTCACTGCTGGAGCCTCTGCATTCACAGTGATTTATAACTCTTGTGTAGACAGGTGTGTAAAACATATGAACACCATATTGCATATAAATTCCTCTATTTTGTAATATACTAATAATATAGTCTGATATATATATATATATATATATATATATATATATATATATATATATATATATATATATATATATATATATATATATATATATATATATATATATATATAATATATATATATATATGCAATAAGATCACAGTAAACAGGTGATTTCGGAATATGCAAATCAACCACTCTGAAAAAATAGAGAAATTCCAAGAGCTTTCGTGACTACTCACGATAATGTGAGTAGTCACGAAAGCACTTGGAATTTCTCTATTTTTTCAGAGTGGTTGTTTTGCATATATATATATATATATATATTATATATTATATATATATATATATATATTATATATATATATATATATATATATATATATATAATATAAATTGAGATTTCACATTACTGTCAATTTTGTTTTCTAGCTGGTTAAGTGGACAACTTAGTCTGTATGGTAAGGTGTTCGCCTATCCACCATTTTTTCCTTTACCTTGTTATCTTTTCATTATTGTGAAACCTCAGTGTGTATTGGTCACCGAAAGGGATATGATATCAAGAGAGAGACTGCTAGTCCTGGCTGACATTTGCCATGAACACTAGTCACTCTAAAGTTCCCATATGACAACAGTCATGGCACTGTAATCAAGCTAAGCTTCTTCCTGACAATGGATTTGGCCTGTGTAGCCACGAGGAGTTCCTATCTAACAACAGACATGGAGACTGTAATCACGACAACCTCCTGCTAATAACAGCCCTGGACACTGAAGTGACTATGCTACTACTAACAACAGGTTACACCATTTAAGAGACTGAAACTGCTCCCGCTGCTCTGTGAGTGCTAGCTTAAATTCATAATGAGTTTTGTATTTCTATTCACCTTCTTGACATATAATAGTGAAAACCATAAATAAATGCGTTAAACATATTTTTATACACAAACATTTGAGTTACCTTAAATTATACACTTTTACACCATTGCATATGTTTTGACAGTGAATTTGATATTGGTTTGTCCGCCACTGACAACAGGCAAGGCAGGAACGCGTCTTGGAACCAGAAGGTTCTGAAGAACCCACAAAGTTCCGAACCTGCGAATCCGGAAAGTACCTTTGGTTTGCGTGTTCAAAGATTCTTACCAACCTCAAAAGTTTTTCATCGAACCGCCCTGTGGGATATCGATTGAACGAGGATTTACATTCTCAGTGCGCCCAGGCAAAGTGCAAGCATCCTCTCGAGACTGCTGCTCACGGAGGCGTGCGTGGTAGATGCTCTGACAGGAGAGACTCGGAAGTAATTCTTGGAAATTCATATGGTGGTCGTCGTCGTGGTATCGACAGTGCTGGTGTTACTGGCGGTGTTGATGCCAGGTCTTGGTACTGACGGGCACAGGGATTCATAGTAATGGTGGTGGTGGTGGTAGTGACTTTAGGGGTTGTAGTACTGTGTCAAGTGGTTGTAGTAATGTCATTATTGGTGGTAACAATACTGATTGGGGAGGGAATGGCACCTCTGGTACCGGTACGTCATTTGATGACTGTGGTTCTGATAGTGACTAACATAGTGGCGCGATGGAAGGGCTTTTTAAGAATAAGATTTTGAAATGGGGTACCAAACGTGATGACGAAGCAACATTTTCATTGGTGTGGCAGGGATAGGAGCACCGTTCCCATGAGTGGTGGTTGTGGTGCCTACGGATGGTGGTAGCAGCTGAGGAAATAGTAGTTGCTACGTTGAATACTCAGTCGTGGATGCTTTGTGAGAAAATTCAACATAACACTACAGAGAGTAAGTAGTTGTTTGGCCACCATTTCCAAACAGAGTTGCTGACCATCCGTTCGTAGCTTTTCACCAATAAAAAAGCTCACTTAGGAGAGGAACATTATTACGATGTTTCAGTCAGTCATGGACCGTTGTCAGGCCACAACTGGACCAGGACGGACCGAAATGTCGACATAAGGTCCCTCTCCTAAGCATGGGTTTGGGGTGAACTGTTCCAGCTATGGTATTATGACTTTTTATTCGTTCGTAGCTTATCTTGAAGAAGCAAGATTTCCACATAAACTTGACACAGCCTCTCCGTGGAATGGAAGTTGTTACAAAGCGGACACAGGATAACTTATTAAAAAAACTGTAAACCTCACGTAATACAAACACTAGAAAATAAATAAGGAATTAGCTTAGTTTAGACTTAGATTAGATGAGCCTTTGGTTGTAGAAAAGACGATTGGAAGGTGAGATGAGATTTTGAGATGAGGCTTTGACATTGAAGGTTCAGCTCTAGGAGGCTTTCAGACGGAGGGCAGAGGATGATTGCCGGGGCTTCATACTGGAGGATCCTTGGGGTTTTCAAGGGTGCTCCTGTATTGCTGGTCCAAGACGTCGTCCTTGGCAAAGGAGTACATGTCCTCCTCCAGCGTCTCGTCGCCGTCGTCGAATCCGTATCTTAAAAACAAGAAAATGTCAGAAGTGGGGAGTTGTTCTGCTTTGATGATTATGGACTTACGGGGAACATATCTCCCCTCCCGGCCAGGCCTTAGATCAGGACTCCTAATTGCAAAGGAAATGTTAGGGGGTCTAACAACTATTAAAAAGCACCGAGAGAAATATATATCGTTAATTAGATATAAGATTATAAACTGAATGTAAGGATATATGAGTAGAGTCCCTCCTGAACCACCATAATGATCCAGAATTGACCGAAACCTCGTGTAATTTTCATCTAAATTCTCTGGGTTACTTGTTGATTGGTATAAACCTTGGAAATAGATACCAAGAAATTGGTTTAGAAATATACGTGACAATGTATCACTCACACCTCACTCTCGACTTATATATACTCTCCTTTTAACATCAGTATGTTAGAAGTGATCAAGATCCCAGGACCGAAACGTTTTCTAATAAATATGTCCTAGTGTTTACTCATGTGTCTTTCTAAACTTGTGATTTTTTTTTCAGCCATAATACAGCAGCGGAACTAATTCTTGTAAGAATTAGTTCCGCTGCTGTGTTATGTTACATGTTCATATTACAGAAAGGAAAAAAAATAACTTATTACACAGTGTAAGCTATTTACAACTATGAGCCTATTACATTTTGCATCCCATTTACACAGATTTACACAGTGGCGTCAGTGACACAATGAAACCTAGTTTTATTAGCCAGTTTTTACAGTGAAACCTATCGAACAATGAAGCCTATGTGCACAGTCGGGTCTATTCGCTAGGTGAAGCCATTACACAGAGTAACGTATTTGCAATGATAATTTGTTTTATAGTGGAAACTATACACAAGGTGAAAATTATTTACACAAAATAAATTATTACAAAATGAAGCCCATTTACACGGTCTAGCATATTACAGCTCGGGGGGGGGGGAGCAGGAAGCCATTCAAATTAGAAACCTTAACTGAAGGGCATCGTAAGAATCTCACGTTATTTTTAAATAAAAATGGTCCTCGACCTGAATGCCGCTGCAGTTACGGAGAAGAACGCAGTAAATCAGCTTACGTAAATTCTTCTTGAAAATTATTTGTAAATATCTGAATTAATGAGTCAGCAACGATGTTTGATAAATAGTGAGGAAATAAATTATGAAAAATAATAATAGACAGATATACGAGTCTTGGTGTCAGTCCAAGAGTCTGTGGTTTGGGGTCCAAATATACAGAGGTCCTCTTGACTCTCACTCTTGTACCCAAATGTTTTTTTTTTTTTTACATTTCTTACGTAAATTGAGTAGAGGAATACCTGATTGAACTAATAATCAACAAGGCAGACTCCCCCCCCCCCCCAGGTCAGTGTGCACGAATATTAACATTATGGAAGCCGGTCAGAAGTCATGCAGAACACAATAAATAATAAACATAAACTCATTAATCCTGTATTACTAACTAATAGATTTATCATTTTAATCATAATTTTTTAATGGGTGGACTGGTAAGCCAGTGGAAGGTCTCGGTCAGATGACCTAAAGCTGCAGCCATGAGTCATCATATGACTAAAACCAGCGTCAGGAATCACTTGTACTGTTTCCTGACGAACCTCACCTAAACTCATTATTTAGTAAATAGGTTAGATAGTGGTCAATCAATATTTGAGGAATTAACATCATTAATGTGAAATTATACCCCATGGCAAAACTTACTTTCTGTAGTGTTAAACCCATATGGGTTATTCAGCATAAGAAATGGTGCAGTCCTGATCCTCTTAACGTGACGAACAAGGAAGCAACTGCAAGTTACATTATATATAACAATGACAAAAATTTATGTTGTAAATAAGAAGACGGAGTTCAAAATAAAGTTGACAAAAACTAGGCTACTGTCTCGCGTACAGCAGTCGGAGGATCGATCCTTCACTATTCATTGTGTTGAATAACTCGTACGGGTGTGATGCTCTACGATAAGCAGGTTAGGTTAGATAATGTTTGTCAGGAAACAGGACAAATGTTTCCTGACGCTGTTTTTAGCCATATGATGACCCACAACTGGAGCTTTTGGTCATCTGACAGAGGCCTTCCACTGGCTTACCCCTCCACCCCTATAAAAATTATAATTATTATTATAATTATTATTATAACCATTTTTTTTTTATTTACGCTGAGCAGTCCTCTACCGCAGGTATATTTATTGACGACATACTCAGCCTGCTCATTTGATATGCCCTCTTAGTACCGGCACACGATATACTCTGGTATATATATATAAAACTTGACTTTCCTATGAATAAAAATAATATAAGTTGAGTGTTATAATATTCCACAAGTTGGTTAAAATATAACTTAAAATTAACATAATGACCCGTGAGGAAACTTGAGGCGTCGCTGGGACAGCTTCTCAGATATCAGCTTCACGTAATGAGGCTTCACCGAGGCTTCACCTGCTGAAGCTTCACTTTCACATAGTGAGGCTTCACCTTTACCTATTGAGGCTTCACGTTGACCTAATGAAGCTTCACTTTCACCTACCGAGGCTTCACCTACTGAAGTTTCACCTCTACCTAATGAGGCTTCACCTACCGAGGTTTTGCCTTCACCTAATGAGAATTCACCTTCACCCAATAAGGAACCAGGAGAGGCAGGAGGAGCTTAAAGCTATTAGTGAAATTGAAAGAAATTCAAAATATTTCTTTTCATATGCCAAAAACAAGGCAAATACCACCACATCTAGTATCGGGCCCTTACTCAGACAGGATGGGACTTACACAGATGACAACAAGGAAATGAGTGAAATATTGAAATCCCAGTACGACTCTATGTTTAGTGAACCACTAATCGGTCTGAGGATCGACGACCCAAATGATTTCTTCATGAATGAGCCTCAAAACTCCATAAATGTATGCCAGATTTCCGACATTACCCTAACTCCGATAGATTTCGAAAAAGCCATTCACAACATGCCTATGCACTCAGCCCCGGGCCCAGACTCGTGGAACTCTGTTTTCATTAAGAACTGCAAGAAACCCCTCTCGCGTGCCCTAAGTACACTATGGAGGAGGAGCTTGGACATGGGTGAAATTCCACAGTCACTTAAAACAACGGATATAGCCCCACTCCATAAAGGTGGCAGCAAAGCATTAGCTAAGAACTATAGACCAATAGCTCTGACGTCCCACATCATAAAAATCTTTGAAAGAGTGCTAAGAAGCAGGATTGCAAATCACCTGGATTCCCAAAATCTGCACAATCCAGGGCAACATGGGTTCAGGGCAGGTCGCTCCTGCCTCTCACAACTACTGGATCACTATGACATGGACTTGGATGCACTGGAAGAAAATCAGAATGCAGATGTAATATACACAGACTTTGCAAAAGCATTTGACAAATGCGATCATGGCGTAATAGCCCATAAAATACGTGCTAAAGGAATAACTGGGAAAGTGGGGAGATGGATCTTCAACTTCCTAACAAATCGAACACAGAGTAGTGGTCAACAGAGTTAAATCGGGGGCTGCCATAGTGAAGAGCTCTGTTCCACAAGGCACAGTACTCGCCCCCATCTTATTCCTTATCCTCATATCAGACATAAACAGAGATATACACCACAGCACCGTATCATCCTTTGCGGATGATACTAGGATCTGCATGAGGCTGTCATCTGCTGAGGACGCGGTTAACCTCCAAGAAGATATAAACAAAGTTTTCCAGTGGGCAACGGTAAATAATATGATGTTCAATGAGGACAAATTCCAACTACTCCGTTATGGAAAACTGGAGGAGATAATAAATAGAACAGAGTATACTACTGACACCGGCCATACAATAGAGCGGAAAAATAATGTAAGGGACCTGGGAGTAGTAATGTCTGAGGATCTCACTTTCAAGGATCATAACAGTGCCACGATCGCACGTGCAAAGAAAATGATAGGATGGATAATGAGAACTTTCAAAACGAGAGATGCCAAGCCCATGATGATCCTTTTCAAATCACTTGTTCTCTCTAGGCTGGAATACTGCTGTACATTAACATCTCCATTCAAAGCAGGTGAAATCGCAGATCTAGAGAGTGTACAGAGATCCTTTACTGCACGTATAAGTTCTGTCAAGCACCTTAACTACCGGGAACGCTTGGAAGCACTTGACTTGTACTCGTTGGAACGGTCCCAAATCTGCACACAGAAATCACTCCCTACGAAAGTAAAAGACTGGGCAGGTGATTCAAAATGCCCCCAATAAAAAGTAGGGGCGCCATTGGTACACTAAGAGAAAACACCATAAGTGTCCGGGGCCCAAAACTGTTCAACAGCCTCCCATCAAGCATTAGGGGAATTGCCAATAAACCCCTGGCTGCCTTCAAGAGAGAGCTGGACAGATACCTAAAGTCAGTGCCGGATCAGCCGGGCTGTGGCTCGTACGTTGGACTGCGTGCGGCCAGCAGTAACAGCCTAGTTGATCAGGCCCTGATCCATCGGGAGGCCTGGTCATGGACCGGGCCGCGGGGGCGTTGATCCCCGGAATAACCTCCAGGTAACCTCCAGGTAATAAGGCTTCACCTTCACCTAATGAAGCTTCGCCTTCACCTACCGAGTCTTCATCTTCACCTACCGAGGCTTCACCTACTGAGGCTTTAACTTCACTTGATGAGACTTCACTCTCACCTAATGCGGCTTCACTCTCATCTACTGGAGCTTCACCAAATGAGGCTTCACCTTCACCTAATGAGGCTTCACCAAATGAGGCTTCACCTTCACCTAATGAGGCTTCACCTTCACCTAATAAGGATTCACCCTGATATTTCCTACATGAAACTCTGTTCATGAACCTAAATATTGTGACATCATTAAAACAGACCCGTGTCTCGGGCCTATTTCCTTTCCTATAGTCCAGAAATATGCAATACACCCATTTCTACTTAATTTGCCTCGAAACTCCCAACGAACTGGTCAATTTTGCGTCCTTCGGGACAGCTAGATGGCGCTTGGGACTCACTTCCAGGCGACGAAGGCGCAGGAGAGGAGAATGACCACACCAGCTGTTATAAGGACGAGAGCGAGGGGTAGCGGAGGGGTGTGCATGAGGTGGGAGCCACTCATAGGTCTGCTGAGGATGACATGGTAGAAGACAGATCCGGCCGTCAGCAAGAGAGTACCCAGCAAGAAGCTCAGTAAGAGGCAGTAGGCGCGGGTGGTGGGGGCTACTTGTGGTGTGAAAAGGCCCTTGTAGCGGATCTGCCTCGATAGGGTTCTCCTGCCGGATGCGCTGGTGTCTGAGAGCGAGCCGGTGCTGCAGGAGGGTGAGCTACTGCTCTGATGGTTAGGAGACATCTTGTCTGTGAAAATGGTTTGTCTGAAGGCCGAACCCTGCAACACAGATAGTTTGTCGTTAGTGGTGGAATGGTCAGATTAGTTCATAGTTTGTATAATGAACGAATACTGTATTCATGCATATAATGAGGATAAAGAGAAGCATACACACAAAAATTGTATGTTATACATATGGGAACACCTTCACATAACCTCGTCGTCACTTGCAGTAAAAACTTCATTTATTTTAGCACGAGTTTTCTATAAACCTGTCAAAACCTTATTATTATTATTTTTTTTTTTTACATTTAATGGCGTAGTTTTGACGAGGAATTCACATAGGTACAGAATTGCAACATATAGGAGTTTAAGCTGTGGTACTCCTTCACGAGACTTTGTAAAATAGTAATGTGGTTATAGTTATAACCTTAATTTTTAAAGGGGTGGACCAGTAAGCCAGGGGAAGGCCTTGGTCAGACGACCAAAAGCTCCAGCTGCGGGTCTTCATATGACTAAGACCCGCGTCAGGAAACACTATTCCTGTTTTCCGGCAACCCTTACCTAACCTGAGACTCTCGCAGCAGTCATTTTTCTCTCTGGATGGCCCCGATGAAGCGACTGAAAGAGACAAGTGTCCGCCCTCGGGTCTCTGACCTTGTATAACTTTAATAATTGTAATGTATCTCACCAATCCCACTACATTCGAACATATACTGCATGTTTCTTCCCTCATGCAAACCTTCCTACATAAAACGTGCGTCCCTTTAATGACGTAAAAGGGAAAAAACAGAAGAAATCATTTTCCCGCTACATCCCAAACAAATCTTTGCAAATATCTTTTAAATGAGAGCAGAGTACCGCTGGGAAGTTGAGCATTAACACCCAGTCAAGAGAGGCTGCATCACAGCCCCGAGTAATATCCATTAAGATATGTAAATTACAGTGAGTGATCTCCAGATGTGAGAATTCCATTAGTGAGTTTATAGCGAGTGAAGAAATATTTCTGTGACACAATTGTCTAGGGAGGCACACGTTAGGGGAGGCGAGGAATGCAAACAGCAGCGGTTCTTGCTTTTAAAGACAGGTCTGTGGTTCTGCCTGAGGGAGTCGGTGTTTGTGGTCTGGTCTGTTCCCTGTGGTGTCGCGTCCTGAAGTCTGGTCTATTTCCCTGTGGTTTCTGTTCTTAAGGTCATGGGGAGGCGATGAATCAGTAGGGATTATTCACCATGATTGCTCCCTCCCCCATCCCGTATGGCGTCGAGTCTCGAATCCTGAGTCCCAGTGCGTTATAACGCTTGGCAAACATCTTTTCTTCGTTTCCAAAGTTCTCAACTAAAACAAAGATATACGCATCTCTATGTCCATTGTATAAGAATAACACTTTCATCTCCGATGGCTTTATCAGCTTGCTGAGATCTTTGTTAGGTGCGCAGAACTAGCAAGGATGCTGGAATCTCAGCTATAGAGACAGGAAAAAACGCTGACTGTATATAAAGTGAGAGATAAACATCTGCAACTTCGGCTTAACCTACATGTGATTCTTGCACACTTTTGTCGATATTTCCTCATTGCACTGATGGAACATTTCTCGTGATTGCGAAAAGCTTTTACCAGCAATTTTCCCCATTTCTGTATGGGATTGTGATATTTAATTTTAGCGATACTTGTGAGTGAATTTCACACACACACACACACACCACACACACACACACCACACACACACCACACACACACACACACACACACACACACACACACACACACACACACACACCACACACGCGCGCGCGATTGTGCAAACGTTGTGACCGTAGTTATGAGGCTACGACACCACGCTCCAAAATAAACTACCCCAGATGTAAACTTTGAGAGGCTAGAAGAACCACAAGTTGTAACTCAATGCATTTCTTTCATACAGAACTCATCCCGTCCAACAGCCAGTGTCAGAGTCTAGCTCTTGTCCAAATGACGCCAATGGATCTGAAATACCCGTAAGGCACATTTGGCAGGGGAGGGGCCAGGGAGGGACCGAACTAAGGCAAACAAAAATGCCAGCCAACCACTCACACCACGATTTAAAAGGCTGATATCCACTGGTCTAAATGAACTGCAGTCTTAATGGCCCGGGGTTCACTCGATAGCCTTTTAAGTTTCAATCTTAGGAGCTAACGTAAGACTTTTAATGTACGTAAAGATAAAACGTCTCAGTACTGTGGTTGGTGCAATTCATCAATTCACATCGTCATAACAGACCATCGTGAAGACGTTTCGGTAGGTCATGAACCATTATAACAACGTTTCGGTGTCCTGGACTATTATGACAAGTTTTCGGTGTCCTGGACTATTATGACGACGTTTCGGTGTACTGGACTATTATGACGTTTCGGTGTCATTGACTATTATGACGACGTTTCTGTGTCCTGGACTATTTTGACTACGTTTCGATGTCCTGGACCATTATGACAACGTTTCGGTGTCCTGGACCATTATGACAACGTTTTGGTGTCCTGGACTATTATGACGACGTTTCGGTGTCCAGGACTATTTTGACTACGTTTCGGTGTCCTGGATCATTATGACAACGTTTCGGTGTCCTGGACTATTATGACAACGTTTCGGTGTCCTGGACTATTATGACGACGTTAAGGTGTCCTGGACTATTGTCCAGGACGTTTCTCTCCAAAGCGAGGGGGGGGGTTTCGGTTAGTTGGTGGTGTAACCGGACAGGAAGTTTTTCTCTTCTGGCTGGACTACGGTACGAGTCCACCCGGGTGGACTACCCGCGTTGTCTACCCGGGAGGACAACCCGGGTGGACTACCCGGGTAGACAACCCGGGTGGACTACCAAGGTGGACTACCCGGGTGGACTCCCCGGGTAGACTACCCAGGTGGACTACCCAGGTGGACTACCCGGGTGGACTACCCGCGTTGTCTACCCGGGAGGACAACCCGGGTGGACTACCCGGGTAGACAACCCGGGTAGACTACCCGGGTAGACAACCCGGGTGGACTACCAAGGTGGACTACCCGGGTGGACTCCCGGGTAGACTACCCAGGTGGACTACCCAGGTGGATACCCGGGTGGACTACCGGGTGGACTACCCAGGTGGACTACCCGGGTAGACAACCCGGGTGGACTACCAAGGTGGACTACCCGGGTGGACTCCCCGGGTAGACTACCCGGGTGGACTACCCAGGTGGACTACCCAGGTGGACTACCCGGGTAGACAACCCGGGTGGACTACCAAGGTGGACTACCCGGGTGGACTCCCCGGGTTAGACTACCCGGGTGGACTACCCAGGTGGACTACCCAGGTGGACTACCCAGGTGGACTACCCGGGTGGACTACCCAGGTGGACTACCCAGGTGGACTTTCCCAGGTGGACTACCCAGGTGGACTACCCAGGTGGACTACCCGGGTGGACTACCCAGGTGGACTACCCAGGTGGACTACCCAGGTGGACTACCCAGGTGGACTACCCAGGTGGACTACCCAGGTGGACTACCCAGGTGGACTACCCGGGTGGACTACCCAGGTGGACTACCCAGGTGGACTACCCAGGTGGACTACCCAGGTGGACTACCCAGGTGGACTACCCGGGTGGACTACCCAGGTGGACTACCCGGGTGGACTACCAGGTGGACTACCCAGGTAGACTACCCGGGTGGACTACCCAGGTGGACTACCCAGGTGGACTACCCAGGTGGACTACCCAGGTGGACTACCCAGGTGGACTACCCAGGTGGACTACCCAGGTGGACTACCCGGGTGGACTACCCAGGTGGACTACCCAGGTGGACTACCCAGGTGGACTACCCAGGTGGGACTACCCAGGTGGACTACCCAGGTGGACTACCCAGGTGGACTACCCAGGTGGACTACCCGGGTGGACTACCCAGGTGGACTACCCGGGTGGACTACCAGGTGGACTACCCAGGTGGACTACCCAGGTGACTACCCAGGTGGACTACCCAGGTGGACTACCCAGGTGGACTACCCAGGTGGACTACCCAGGTGGACTACCCAGGTGGACTACCCAGGTGGACTACCCAGGTGGACTACCCGGGTGGACTACCCAGGTGGACTACCCAGGTGGACTACCCAGGTGGACTACCCAGGTGGACTACCCAGGTGGACTACCTAGGTGGACTACCCAGGTGGACTACCCAGGTGGACTACCCAGGTGGACTACCCAGGTGGACTACCCAGGTGGACTACCCAGGTGGAACTACCCAGGTGGACTACCCAGGTGGACTACCCAGGTGGACTACCCGGGTGGACTACCCAGGTGGACTACCCCGGTGGACTACCCAGGTGGACTACCCAGGTGGACTACCCAGGTGGACTACCCAGGTGGACTACCCAGGTGGACTACCCGGGTGGACTACCCAGGTGGACTACCCAGGTGGACTACCCAGGTGGACTACCCAGGTGGACTACCCGGGTGGACTACCCAGGTGGGACTACCCAGGTGGACTACCCGGGTGGACTACCCGGGTGGACTACCCAGGTGGACTACCCGGGTGGACTACCCGGGTGGACTACCCGGGTGGACTACCCAGGTGGACTACCCAGGTGGACTACCCGGGTGGACTACCCGGGTGGACTACCCAGGTGGACTACCCAGGTGGACTACCCGGGTGGAACTACCCAGGTGGACTACCCAGGTGGAACCCAGGTGGACTACCCAGGTGGACTACCCGGGTGGACTACCCAGGTGGACTACCCAGGTGGACTACCCAGGTGGACTACCCAGGTGGACTACCCAGGTGGACTACCCAGGTGGACTACCCAGGTGGACTACCCAGGTGGACTACCCGGGTGGACTACCCAGGTGGACTACCCAGGTGGACTACCCAGGTGGACTACCCAGGTGGACTACCCAGGTGGACTACCCAGGTGGACTACCCAGGTGGACTACCCAGGTGGACTACCCAGGTGGACTACCCGGGTGGACTACCCAGGTGGACTACCCAGGTGGACTACCCAGGTGGACTACCCAGGTGGACTACCCAGGTGGACTACCCAGGTGGACTACCCAGGTGGACTACCCGG